TGTTTGGGGGGGGGAGGGGAGAGCATACTCCATCTAGTATTACAGAATGAAATTAAATCTATCTAAATCAGTCTCACCTGGATAGGTTAGAATACTGAATTGAGCTGGGAGGAACAAGGAGTTATTTTACAAGGAGAAAATAATCCTGATGATAAAATGTGCACAACTTGGAACAGTATACTTATAGAAGTTATAGGTGTCAAGGTACGAAATTTACTGTCCTTAGGATCACCGTAGTGCTTCTAGCTTGTCTACAGTTACGGGGAGAGAGGGGAGAGTTTGAGATCCACAGGTGCTCCCTATCAGTGTGAGAGCTGAAGCCGCTGAAGAGATGTTTTGGCGAACTGAAGTCTCTTCTCATAACAATTGCTGAAAGATCTATTGGACAATGTGACCTGAACTGTCAGAGAGGGAAGAGAAAGTTTTACTCTTTTAATTATCTATTTTGTGCCATATTCTCAGCGCTAGCTTTCCTTTTATCGTACCGGTTTGCTAATACCTAATAAAGTTTACATTAGAGATCGCAATGTCTCTGGCGTTTTGCTTCGTTGGGCTTCTCAGCCAGAATCTGACAGTAGGTACTTTTATCTCTGAAAATTCTTAAGACCTTTCAGTTACCTTTCATAGATGGTTTAATTGATTTTGATGCAGAATGCAAAGTAATAGCAATAGCACTTAGACTTATATACTATTTCATGGTGCTTTAAAGCATTCTCTGAGCAGTCAGCCTATGGCCCCCAACAATCTGGGTCCTCATTTTACCGACCTCGGAAGGGTGGGAGGTTGAGTCAGTCCTGAGCTGGTCAGGATCGAACTCTGGCAGTCGGCAGAATTGGCCTGCAATTCTGCATTCTAACCACTGTGCCACCATGGCTCTTGGGCTCATGATTGCTTCCCTCTTTACAATATTGTATGTGATTTTATGAACCCTTCATTCATTTATATGGTATTTAAACTCTTGTTCCTGTAGCCTTTGAATGGGTGAAACGGGCAATAGTGTTTGAACTTGGATATCTCAACTGGGCTAACTTACAGAATATGCCCAACATCTGGAAGCCATGACTCCCATGAAGGTGAAATTTGGCAAATTTTATAAAACATGTTATGACGTAATACCGAATGTCATAAAACATTTTTCCTGTGCTGATCTTTGACTGCACTAACAAGTTCAGCATGGGCTGTTTTTAAGGCAGATACAGCGCATGAGAAGTTCTGTCACTGATGGAGGTGTTGAGGAATCTGGTAAAGAGCCAGCTCTGAAAGTTGGCCCAGGTCATGGGTTGTCTAAAATTAAATTAAACTTTGAGTACCCAAAAGCAATCCTGAAATATCATCCCATCCAGATCTTCTACCATTAGTTTAAATTCCACAAATTAGTCTGGTACTGAGCCTTGATGCAGACTTCTCATCCTTTAGATCAGGGGTTCCCAACCAGGGGTGCTTGCACCCCCTGGGGGTGCGAGATGATATTCCAGGGGGTGCGAAAACTTGGGTTTTCAAAATTATAGTGTATATGCATAATTTGTTGCTGTTATTTTGAACCTTTGTAAGGTGTGTGAGAATATATCAGAAGCATTCTAGGGGTGCGGAGTATAGAAAAGGTTGGGATCCGCTGCTTTAGGTGGTCATTCAAATGTGGGGCGATAATATATGTGAAACTGAGATGTCTAACAAAAGACTGAAAATAAAGGGCTCCGTTGGAGAAGGGAAGGTGTTGTCAACTGTTGTCCTGGCCTCCAGTTCTTGAACCTTCAGAATGTAGCAGAAGTTTGGTGACGATATGATACCTTCTGCTTCCTCATGGGAAGACTGTTCAGCCGCATGTAGAGGGCTCTTTTGAGAACATGGCCTTGTTATTGTCTTCCAACTTAAAACATTATCTCTGCCTCCATACTGCTGCAGATGTCAGATTGCTAAAAAGTCAGGGGAAGAAGTTTAATCTGTCACAGAGTTTCCCAGGAAAGTGGAAATGGCAGATAACTGCGGTGGGTAACTACACAAAGCTTTCCTTAGTTTTGTTCAGCTCTCAGAAAGAGCTATCCAAGGTCCTGTTTACATGCTGCCTTCTTCTCCAGAGGTTTGCTCTCTGAGTTCTTTGCTTTCTGACCAGATTTGATTGATTTGCTGTGAATGGATATTTCTTTCCTGGATTTCTGACACTCGTGGAATACAGAGGTGTCAAAAGAAAAGATACCTGCCTTTTATCCAAGAGTCATTGATGAAATCTCCATGCCATTCTACCAGAAGGCACTAAGCAAGCTTCTCATAGTTCTGAACAATTGAAGTGAGCATTGACAGAGCCCAGATTCTGTTGAAGTTGTGTTTGTATTTACTAGATGGTTATTTCAACCGTAAATTATGTTACTCAACAAAGGGATTACTGGGAGAATCCATTTGCACCTTAACTTCACAAATAGCGACTGCAGGAATAGGATTCAGGGAGAGTAATAGTGACTACTCTTTCTTCTCTGAACAGGATTTTCGGGAACCTGGGCCAGGCTGGTTTTGGGCATTGGGAAGAGATTTTACTACCTTGCATGCTGAGCACTGGGATTTGGGACACAAGCACATTTTTGGACTTTTGCAGTTTCTGAGTAGCATAATTAAAATTTGTGACCTTCTATGGCTCAAATGTTGGTTTTCTGTTATACAAAAACAGATTTTTCTCTTGCATTACTTTGGGCATTGCAATGTGAAGGATAAAATGTGAAATCAGGTGGAATGACTTCCCTAGGGCAATTGCGCATTCCTTGGGGTTGAGGTATCATACTCTTTTTGAAACTTTATACTAACTTCAGCACCTGTTTAATGAGCATATCACCTATGCTGAACTAAATCTGTGTCATTATGAAGAAACGTGTATGCCAAAGAATCACAGTGCTGTTAGATCATTTAATGATAGAATCTGACTGTAATATTCCCAGCCTTTTGGGTTCTCAAAGAACTGTCTCCAAAAGATTGATTTGTGCTATTACTAAGGTTGAAGTTATGAAGCTGAATTATTTTGTTCATTGGTTGGAAGGCAGCAAATTTAAAGACTGAGCTGCTAATCAGTCAGTGACATTCCTTGTTGCTGTTCCTGGTGAGAATAATGGGGGAACAGAATGGCCTTGAGTTGTGGGGCAGATCCTGCAGAGTGGCACGCTCTGCTAGTTGCACTCTGCAAGTCACTGGGAAGACCTGGCGAGAGTTTGAAGATTTATTTATTGGTTAAATTTATTTGCCATCCATCTTGCCATGGGGCTACCCTGGCTAGCTTACAACAGTAAAATGGAAAAAATAATAAAAAAATGTAAACATAATGATAGCAAAGCACTGAAACAAGGAAATTACTATAATGTGAATTAAAAGATGGGCAGAGGGGGAGCAGAAAGCTCAAGGGTGAGGTGGGGTCTGCTAATTAGCCCTGCAGCCATCACCAGTGTGTAGCCCTGCAGCCATCACCACCATGGAGTCCCCAGGCCAACCAGCAGAGCCAGGTCTTCAGGCCCTTGTGGAGGGCTTAGGATGATGGGGGCAAACCTCACTGGGGAGGCAGGATGTTCCAGAGGGCTGGCGCTACAACAGGGAAGGCTCGGGAGTTCCTTGACCAGTGAGATTTACAACAGGCCTTTTCCACCAACATGAAGAAGGGGGGCTTGTCTTAGTGAATGAGATGGTTCCTCAAGCATTTGAATCTATACCAGGTTACCTTCCTGTTTCCCATTTCTCTTACACATGGTTAAGAGGAATCAGGAACTGGGTATACCTAATCCAGAAAAAAGGACTAGGGGAGACACGATAGCAATCTTCTAGTATCTGAGGGGCTGCCACAAAGAAGAGGGGATCAAACTATTCTCCAAAGCACCAGAGGGCAGGGCAAGAAACAATGGTTGGAAATTTATCAAAGAGAGAAGCAACCTGGAATTAAGGAGAAACTTCCTGACAGCGAGGACAATTAACCAGTTGAACAGCTTGCCTCCAAAAGTTGTAAGTGCTTAGGCAAGCTTGGCTCTTTTATGACTCGTGGACTTCAACTCCCAGAATTCCTGAGCCAGCCATGCTGAGGGGAAAGGGAGAGGTTTCCATGCTTAACCATGCTGGCTCAGGAATTCTGGGAGTTGAAGTCCACGAGTCATAAAAGAGCCAAGGTTGCCTACCCCTCGGCTAGACAGTCACTTGTCTAAAATGGAATAAGGGTCTCCTGCTTGAACAGGGGGTTGGACTAGAAGACTCCAAGGTTCATTCCTTTTGTCATCTGTTTGACGTATTACTGGTGGATACATGTCATTATGTTGTTGCTTGTCAGTTGTGAACTTCCCTTTTGTAGGTTGACAGGGTTGTAATTCCAGGCGTAGGTGCACTTCTTTCCAAAGAGGGCTTTGTGTTGGCATGTCTTGTGCAGGATTCTCCCCCTCGTGTTTTGTGCCATCCTTATCTTGAATCCTCCATGGGACTCATCTCAGAAGGAACCATTAGCTGTGGGCTGCAGTTAGATTTGAACAATGTCCTAATATGGTCAGAAATCAAAAAGACGGAGCTGAGTGAGAGGTGGCAGAACCTCACCTTTGTGTTATAAAATTATTTCTGAGTTGTCCTCTGAAGTCCAGGTCTAGTAGTTTCGAACAAACTAGAAAACTTTAAACAATAAAAATTAATATCAATAGAATACTTTAAAAATAGAAATCTGGACCCTTTATTTCAGATTACTCAGAACAGACAGTTTTAATACCCCACTAAAATGGTTGGATTCCCTTCGTGTGACTCAACGAAAACCCCAAGGGCCATAAAAGGGCCAGTTCTTCATTTTGCCTTTTTTCCCTGCCCTCCCTCAGAGGTCATGTTTGCTCAGCATCACTGCTGGTTCTCTGGAAACAGAGGCTGGACAGGCGGTTTGGCTGCTGCTCTTACACTTAACGGTCAATTTTAGCATTGTGCATTATTTGCTTTTCCAAACTGCCCTCTGTGAATGATTGGTGTTGTGCTGTTAATGCTGACTTCTCCTGCTCTTCTCCTCTTAGGTGGCCTTGCTGAATGTCTTCTCCCCTGAGAAGCCTCTCTTTAGAGAGGAAAGCCGCCGTGTGCGCAGAAACAAAAGAAGCAAGAACAACGAAGGATCAGAAAGTGAGTGTGCATCCTGTGGACTGTGTCCCAACCAATGGGTTCCTACAGTTGTTCTCAACTTACAACCGTTCGTTTGGTGACCGTTAAAGGCTACAACGGCACCAGAAAAAGTGACTTTACGGCTGTTTTTCACACTTATGACCATTGCAGCATCTCTAGGCTCACATGATCAAAATTCGGATGCTTGGCAACTATATTTATGGCGGTCACGGCGTCCTAGGATCATGTGATCCCCTTTTGCGACTTTCTGACAAGCAAAGTCAATGAGGAAGTCAGATTCAGTTAACAACCATGTTACTAACTTAACAGTTGCAATGATTCACTTAACAACTATGGCAAGAAAGGTCTTAAAATGGGACAAAACTCAATAACTGTCTTGCTTAGCGACAGAAATGTTGGGTTCAATTGTAGCTGTAAGCCAATTGTATTTGGCTTAACAGAAATTTACCAAGCCATGTATACATATTCAAATTTTCAAGTTTCAAATTTAGGACAATAAAAGAGCCATTGTCATATTCAAATTAGTGATATACAATTGCTGAAGATCCTAAATTAGTTCCGCATTTCAGCTCAGTTCTGCCATGGAGCTCTCCCTGCAAGAGGTTGCTGGGGGGCAGAATCTGATCCAGAGGGCTGCTGGACCTCCATGGAACTCCGAGTGTAAAGTGGATGGGGAGCAATGAGTTTTAATCCTACACTTCCTGCATTTCTGGCCTTGCGTCCAGAGGGTTCAGAAATATGCACCTGTCCTCACCTGTAATGGCCTATGGGAACGACCTTGGGAGATTTGGGGTGGGGGAGAGAGGGGAAGGATCAGATAAGAGAGGGCCTAGCCCGCCGCTGCGTAACGGGTAGGGAAAGAAACTCAGAAAGGCAGTCTAATCCAAATGAGAATGGTTTTCTCATACCGTTTCTTTAAGTCTAACAAATGTTTCAGTGTCATTAAGGGTTAGTGCAAAAATACAAAACAATGGCTTCCCTAAAATGGAGCAGGAATTATGTACCCGTCATGTTCATAATCTTTTTTTTATTTAATGACTTTTAGTATATATAAAATACAAATAAAATAAAAATAGGAAATGAAGAGAAGGAAAAATAGAGGGGGAAAGAAAAAAGCGTAGACTTCCAATTCTTTTTAGCACAGTACAAGATAAACACATCCCAGCCTCAACATTTTATTTTTACACATTAGTATATGACTAATGTGAAGCTGAATTTCTGGAATGACATCTGGATTCCTCTGCGCAGGTCCATCTTGTGTGATCTCCACAACAACTCTGGGATCTCACCCTAATCCTAACACTGTCAATGTGGAGTTGTTGTCATCAAGCCAACCCAGAGAAGAAGACATGTCCTTCACTTTCTTTTCACATCAGAACATGAGGATCAGTTCACTGTCGTAGTTTCATCCCTTTTCAGGAAAGAAGGCCAACTTAATTCCACCAAGATCTTGTGGACTTTTTTGCTCTGGGCAGCGCTCATAAGTCAGAAACAGTCATCCTACTGAAATTGATTAATAGCAATAGCACTTAGACTTATATACCACTTCACAGTGCTTTATAGCCTTCTCTAAGCAGTTTACAAAGTCAGCATATTTCCCTCAACAATCTCGGTCCTCATTTTATCGACCTTGGAAGGGGCTGAGTCAATCCCAAGCCCTGTCAGAATCAAACTCCAGACTGTGGGCAGAGTTTGCCTGAAGTGCTGCACTCTAACCATTGCACCATCCGGGCTTAAACTGAAAGAACAAGTGGCATTGACCTAACCAGCTCTCCCTGGTTTTCTGGGAAGCGCTGAGCAGTAGCTGGCAGAGTGCAAGTGATACAACAGTTGTTCTGAAACTGACTGGGCCCATGTACCAGCACCCCATCACACCCCGGTACAGGTTTCAAAGAAGGCTCCTTTTATTGTCCAGCAGAGGTTTTCAAAGTAGTTCAGAGATTGATTTCATCTGTTCCTGGAATCCCGTAAGTCAGCAGTCTCCAACCTTTCCAGCTTGGCAGACTGGCAGAGGTGATGAAGGCAGGGAGAGGGGATGGTTTCATGTGCACGCACGCCGCTTTCTGAAATGCAGCTGTGCGCGCACACATGCATGCTTGCCCACTGCTTCCGTGGCCTGGTTCCAAAAGGGCTGTGGACCGGCACTGAGCCATGGACCGGGGATTGGGGGCCCCTGCCCTAATTTGAACCCTTCAGGGGTGAAATGGCTGGCTGTGCTGTTGATGATGCCTTCAGCTCTTTGTTTGTAGAGCTCCTGGCCAGTTAAGTTTGATTGCTTTCCATCTTGATGGCCTCAGGGAAGGGCCAGATAACGTCTGCCTCTGACCCGCTTTTGCTCCCTTGCCCAGCTTGAGTTGAGGTCAGGTGAGCCAAGCGGATGTTTGAGTAGATCCAGGGAGGAGCGAGTTTGTCTTCTGCAGTGAAAGGGAGTCATCAGCCTTACAGCTTGCAGTCTATTTTACTGGGATGTTTTGAGAGGATGCTCTCTAGATATCACATGAAGCCAGAAGCAAGGTTCCTGAAAAAATCTTCCAATGCTCAGGGAAGATTTAGAACCAAAACAATCTGGTGGGAAGAGTTTCTGTCGGAGAGGATTGTCTCATAGAGGCACAGGCATTTGCAGAAGGAAACTTAACTGCCTTCCCTCAGAGTTCAGGGCCAGCTTGGATAACGAATCAGGTTTTGGCCGCTGATCGATATCTTTGGTTCTGGTAGATCTCTCTGTAGCCTTTCATTTATTTATTTATTTATTTATTTATTTATTTATGAGACTTATATACCGCTTTAAGTGCAAGCACTCTCTAAGCGGTGCACACCAGTAAGCAATGTATATATATATTTACATTGCCCCCAACAATCTGGGTCCTTTGATACCGCTGACTCCTTCTGAACCATCCCCACAGATGGAGTAGGAGATCATGTTCTGGGGTACTTCTGTTCCTGGTAGAAGGAATAATTTCATGGGGAGGCCCAAGCAATTGATAAGTCTTTGGGCACAAAAATGGCCACAAGGCAGCACCATGTCCCCAGGGCTCCTTAAATTCTGTAGGGTGCTGTTGGGGCAGCCATGAAGAGTTTGGGGAGGGGTGCCATCATTCTGCTGAGAATAGCTATGTTTCTTCATAACATCTCAACCAGGCGAGGCTGTGCGTGTCATGAACCAATGCCAAAATTCAGGAATGGGCTGGGTGAGAGCCAATAAACTGAGGCTAAATCTGACAAGATGGAAGCTTGTGGGTGGATGCTTCCCAAACGGAGGCAGCATCATGTCTGTCTGTTCTGAAAGAGGGTTGGGCTGCTTCAGAAGGAATGCAGTTTGCAGTGAGCTCATCGTGATCTCTGGGGCTCGAGTAATCTCCATTGTTAGGAAGGCCTTTACCTGCCACAACTTTCCTTGCATAGGGTCAGTCAGCTGCTGTCCCCTGCGAGCTGGGAGCAGCATGGCTAGAATGTGCCCTAGATGGGCTGCTCTTATATATGGACAACCACGTGCAGAACAGAATGGCAGCCATGCTGTTGAGGAGGGCCTGTGTCACCCCTGGGACAAACCATTCTTCCAGATACAAATTTGCTACTAAACGAATGATGCAACAACATAGGTGATATTCAGGGGTGAACCTAATTTATGACTTTTGAATAACTCTTAAAAAAATAGGATTTTTAAAGCTTTAAAGCTTTTTCTGGGAGTTCAGGGCCAGCTCTAAATAACGTAACCTCCTTATATGTAGAGCAGTTTTCCCTTCATAAAACTCTTCCCTTATTACGATGACCTGAGGAGGTGCTACTTCAGCCCCACAGAATCATAGAATGAAAGAGACCTTGAAGATCACTGGGCCAACATTTTCTCCACAGCTTCAGAATCTCTGACTGATGGCCTTCCAATCTGTTTAAACACACATAAAAACATACACACCTTGAAATCTGTTCCATTGTTCAGTAGCTCTTCATAGTAAGAAATGTTTCTTGGAGTTTACAATAAGCCGATGTCCTTGAAATGTAATCCCACCGTTTCTTGTTTAGTCCCCTGAAATAACTCTAAACAATTCGTCCCTCTCTGCAAAATGGTAGTCCTTCAGCTACTTCGAGCCAAGCGTATCAAATGCATTTTCTTTCCTGATCCCTTCTCCTCATGGCTGTTGTCCTTTGGACACACCTCGGAGGAGACTGTCAGATGATCCTTCTAAATCATGGTGCCCACCTTGAGGAGTGCCACCTCCTCCTCTCATTCTCAGAGACGGTCAACTCTTGCGTTGTTTGGGTGCCAACTAGGGATCCGGCTGCCTCCTGACACCTCTTCCAATTATATAGGTCACATTTTCATTCGAGAAGGGCTTCTCTAAATCAGTGACCCCCGCCCCACCCCACCATTATGCAGAAACTTTAATGGACAGGTAGTCCTCAACTTACGACCACCATTGAGCCCAAAGTTTATGTTGCTAAGTGAGAAATTTGTTAAGTGAGTTTTGCCCCATCTTACGACTTTTCTTGCCACAGTTGTTAAGTTAGTAACACAGTTGCTAAGTGAATCCGGCTTCCCCATTGACTTCACTTGTCAGAAGGTCGCAAAAGGAGATCACATGACCCCGGGACATGGCAACCATCATAAATATGAGTCAGTTGTCAAGAATCTGAATGTAAACCACGTGACCAGGGGGATGCTATAACCACCATAAGTGTGAAAAATGGTCATAAATCACTTTTTTCAGTCTGTTGTAACTTTCGATTGTTACTAAGTGAACTGTTGTAAGTCAAGGACTTCCTGTAATCGTGTTCTTACCCTTGGCCAGTTCATAAGTCCCAACTGACTGGCCGAAGCTTGGGAAAAGCAACCGCATCAATTGAAGTTTTTGCAACCTCAGAGACACTAAAGCGAAGTGAATCTCCCATGCTTCTGCTTTCTGGTGTGAACTTAATCTGGGTTCCTCTCTTCCTAGTCAACAAACTCTCTGGAATTGCGCAATCATACTCTTTTGCCAGGATATTCTATTTTTCTTCAGGCATGTTCAGACAAATTGGTTAATTGTTTAGGTAATTTTGTAATTGTCTGTATCCTTCTTTTCTCTGATATTTATTGGTATTTGGGGAGGGAGGGTGGCTTTTTTTGTTCCATTGTTTTATTCCACTGGAAAGGGCCACATTTTTACAACAGGTCTTTTCTGTTTATTTTGATTCCCAGAAGCGGATCTAAGTGTGTCTGCCACCTTGAATTATTTATAAAAATAATTCAAACAAACAAACAAAAAAACAAATAAATGTTTCGCTTGCCCTTTTAAAAAAGTTGCTTTGAATCAGGTGGGGAAGCCCTCCCCCCCCCACCTAGCAGGGCCTGCAGGAAGACCAATTTTAGCCCTATTTTCTTTTCATTCTGAGGACCAAAGAGCAGGAAGACAAAGCCTTGACCTGAAGGGTTGAATCAGTTGGATTTTAGGCCTTCTCAAGAGTAAAAAGGAAGCCAAGTTGCTGTCCCCCTTTTTTTAAAATGGAATCCCCCTCCGAAATGACCCATTTTGCCCACTGAATTTTGGCAGCAGGACATCAGGGGCTGGAGAGAGAAATGGGAACCCATTTCTGTGGTAGCTCTAGAAAAACAACAGAATGGAGTCCCAGATATTTTTTTGTTGATTGCTGAATTGTCTTGCAGAAAATGGAGCTATTTTTCCACTTCTTTCTGTCTTGCTCTCCGGTCCAACATCCCTCAAGATCCAGCTCTGACTGTCCTGCCGTAGGAAGCATCCGGAGAGTAGGAGAAGGAGAACCCGGTAGAGGGGAAGATGGTTGGCAGGATGATTGACAAGGGGAGGCTTTCACTGAGTCTTCCGTTAAGCTGCGTGTGGATGCTATGAAGTGGAGGGTAGTTGCCTCCCGGACTCCTGGGGTCTCCATCACCTCCCGGAGTGATTCCTGCCCTGGCAGGAGGTTGAGGACTACACTGAACCCCAAAATATAATTATAAAAGTATTTATATTCTAGGTTTTTTTAGTTCTTGTTCATATACTGAATGTATTGTGCAGGGACGGATGTTGGATTTTTATTCTTTATTCATCAGATATTAATAGATATGGGATGTAATTTCATCAACAGAAATATATATATATATATATATATATATATATATATATATATATATATATATATATACATATTTTTTTTCTTTTGTAGGCACAAGTCCTTCTAAAAGGAAGAAAGGTAAGCTTGTCTTTCTGTTTTTACGCACGCACATAAACACATATGATGTGACCCATAAGTATTTTCAGCTTCACCATCTATCCAAAATCCAATAGTTTGTGTTTACTTATCTGATTTAGATGGCTGCCTATCTCTTGGCAGTGACTCTGGGCGACCTACAATGTTATATTAAACAAGCCAAATCATAACGCCATAGGTTGTAAGCCAGATGTTTGACTTAGAACAAAGCAATGTTGACCAGTAGAATCAATATCCCCGTCTGGCCCAAAGCACTGGGGAACACCCAGGTCTTTAAAGGTTTGCAAAAGGCTAACAGGGACGGGACTGTTGGGATTTCCAGAGAATCTGGTTCACCAGGAGAGGAGAGGAGATAGCACACAGAGTACGTTCCCCGTGGACATGATGTAGCATACTCGCCATCCTTCCAGGCCATTTCGTCTGCCTTGTACACAGGAGAGCAGCAATGAATTGGGGAAGCCATCCTACGTCATGTCTACAGTGTCCAGTTGACTTTCCCACCCACGGCTGCTCCAGGCAGAAGAAATGGCCTGGAAGGTCAGGGGGAAGAGCTGCTACCAAGGCAGTGATTGGATAAAAGGCCCTGGGCAAAAATGTAATGCAAGGAAGTGTCGCAGACCAAGCCCCTTCCTAGTTAAAGAGAGAGGGGGGCCAAGCACATTCAGACTTACAAAGTTCTGTTACTGTAGCTTTACAATACTGGCCTATCTGGCAATGGTTTCCTAATCTGTACTATCCTGAAGGGATTCTCACCCCTCCTCTAGGCTTCATCTGAAGGTCTGGATAGGGATGGGCAACAAGCTCTGGCCCTTCCCGGGAAAAGCTCGAGGCAAATTCAGGCTCTCCAGGGACTTGCAGAAATGCCCAGTGAGGGTAGCCATTTCGTTCTGGATTGCACAGCAGCAGAGAGATGTTGGCTAGTTTTTTAAGCAGGCACCTCACTTGGATGGAAACCTGGGTGTCCACGAGCCAGAACTTGCCTGCACGTGCCACTCTGGATTCCATGTAATTGTGTGAGACCTGAAGTAGCAACTAATTTAGCAGCAGAAGGCCTCTGGGAAGGATTAGCAAAAGCAGCTGGAGTGTGTCTTTCCCCTGGTTCTTTTTTTTTTGGGGGGGGGGGGAATGGTGAGATCTGGCTTAGGTACATCTCATCCGATAAAGTCTAGAGTGATATGAACCAGAGGAATTTTATAATACACGTACATAAGATTTTGTGAAGTTCAAGTTTAGCTTCAGACCAAAGGCAGGACAGCTGAGAGGCTGATTGGACGAGGGCTTGGCCAGCAGCCAGCCCAGGCCTGAAGAGACACAACCGTTGGGCCTGAAAAGAGGATGACTTCAGTGTGCTTTGCACGGAGAATCTTCTGCTGCTCGTGATTTTTTTAAAAAGCAAATTTGCTTTTTATTGGTATTTAACACCATATCAGTTGTCTAGAATGTATAAAGGTATTTCAAATGAATGTTGGAAATGCAAAAGTAAAGAAGGGACCTTTTATCACTTATGGTGGACATGTGATAAAGCAAAGAAATATTGGAGTAGGATTCCCATCCCAATACAGAAGATTCTCAAAGTGAATGTAAAGATAAAACCAGAAACTTTTCTTTAGTGGAATAAGACTTGAGGGAAAAAATGGAACTTTGATGCTAGATAGGATGGTGCAAGATTGCTTTATGCACAAAATTGGAAGGACACTTTGATTCCCACAATGGATGAATGGCTGCAAAAGTTGATGGAGTTAGCAGAGACGGCGAAACTGGCTGCTTTGATTAAAGAAAAAAATTACTTTTGTTTCTGCTTGGAAACCACTTCTGGACTTTGTGCTCGAGGTGGAAAAAAACGAAACTTTGATTTTGGTTTTTAGCAGTGAGATAGGTTTGTTGTTATAGAAATGGCTAGTTTATACTATTATGTAAAAGTAAAAAAGTTGAGGTTTGATGTTATTATTTTATTCTGCTGCACAAAGGGGAGTTGGAAGTACACGCCTTTTCTTTCTTTCTTTCTTTTTTCCCCTTACCCCACACGTTTCCATTCCCTTTTCCCTCCCCTATCTTTCCTACTATTTTCTTTTGCATTTTATGTTATAAATTAATAAAAACATTAAAAAAATAAAAAGCAAAGTTTGCTGCTGCAGCTCCAGGCGCTCTTTATAGTAAGACAATATTGCATTCCCTGGGACTGGACTTTGCAAGGGTGGAAGAAAAAATAATGCCGCGATGTCGTTTAATCAGATAAGTCCAAGGAAGCGGGGCTTCCAGATCCACGTGTTGTTCCTCAGGCATATGAGTTAAGAGAAGAAATAAAAATAGCTCTCATGATGATAGGTTGTCCCTGTGGGCCACCTGCCAGAGGGATGGAAGTGAGTGTGGCCTGGGGGGGGAGGGAATTCTGCAACTTGTCTCTGGGTGTGAAATTCATGCCCACCTTGTCTGGGCCTGCCAAGCAGAAGATCAGCAGTCTTTCCTGACCTGTAATGGGGATCCACCATTCCAGGCCACCACTCTTCCTACCCACTCTTGCTCAGGCTGGTCCAGAGAATGGGAATAGCCCAAATGCATGCCGGTCAAGTCTCACGTCAGTCCAATTGCTGCCCAGCAAGGTCCTTGTGATTAGAAGCAGGATTAATTAGTCCAAAGAGTTGGGTTTCAGGTAGCATCCAAGCTGCTTAGTTTGTCTTGATGCTGCAGGGCCTGTGATACTTTTTCAATTAGTTAATGTCAAACTATCATCACATTCATTAACTGGGGCGAGATGAATTTGTTTTTGTTATTTTATATTAATGAGGCACCTTGCTAATAATCTGCCTAAATTAAATCACTGCCTATGTGATGATTACTAGAACTCAGCACTTGTAAACAACGAATGACTACTATGACTACTAAGCTTTGTCTAATGTGTATGTATATTAATCCATAGAGTCTGGCTGAAGTAACACAACTAACAAAATAACAGAGTTTGAGGAGACCTCAGAGGTCTTCTAGTCCAAAGCCCTGCTCAAGCAGGAGACCCCATATCATTTCAGACAAATGACTGTCCAATCTTTTCTTTAAAACCTCCAGTGTTTTAAACAATAAACCACTGGTTTATTGTTCTGTTAGGAAATTTCTCCTTAGTTCCAGGTTGCTTCTCTCCTTGATTAGTTTCCATCCCTTGTTTCTTGTCTTGACTTTTGGTGCACTGAATTATTATGAATTGAACTGGTTCTTTATATTCCTCTTACAGTCTCTGCTTACTCAATAGGAAACTGTCACTCTTGATATCAATCAGCAGCTCTCAGATATAATATTCATTGTGGTCAGCAGCTGTCCGGTGGACTCGGACACTTCTTCTTTTTTTTAAATGTAAATTTGATTTTATTTAAAATCACATGTCAATTAGATTAAAGACAGTTACTTTCAATCTCAATAGCTTTTACCTTTTATCACAATAAAAAATATAGTTCAAAATAAATTTGGGGAGAGTCTCTGGAGGCTATATCTAAGACTCCGAGGAATTGCAGACAACTTGGAAGCCTCACTGCTGCCCACCTGGTATCAATTATCATAGTCCCTTAAATGTGAATGCAAATGCAGCCAGTTTTTCTCAAGGTCTATAAGTTTTTTATGTATACTGTTAAATCAATGGCTTTTTCTCAGAAAACACATTTTTATAGAAAGCCTCTTACTGGCAGTATTAAAAAGAACACAGTGGTTGTCACTATGAATTATAATTGTAGGAGCCCAGCATTTCCACAATTCAAATCACCATTTTACAGGGCTCTATCACTGGGCTCCTTCGCTCCAATCTGAAGGAGTAAGAAATCTTTGTAATTTTGTAAAAAAAATTACTTGAAAGCTTTATCAAACTTCTTTCTTCCAAAAATCTCCTAGCTGAGTTCAACAGCTGGTAAGTTATAGAAATGTTCATATAGCTTCTTATGGTCTTTCTCTGTTCATTCTGTTCTTTTCATTGTCTCTTCTGTTGACCCCTTGCAAATTTCTGTTTGCCCACTTCCTGTTACTTTCAAAGAACTGTATGTTGATGAGTTACTGGAAGAAGTAATGGTGTCAGTCCTGTTAACCAACACCTTCATACCTAGGAAGCAATAGAATCTGCCTGTTGTGCTCCCCACAGCTGAGTCAGAGGAATCTGAGGAGGAGGTGGAGGAGGCATTTGAAGGGCCATCAGAGCCAGAGGGAGGCTCTGAAGTACAGGACTCGCAGTTGGATGCAGAGCCTGGGCCTTCCAGTCGTGTTTCTGATGAAGCTCAGCTGTGTGAGGAGCATGAGTCAGACTTGGAGGAATCACAACAGATGGACTTGCTAATTGACGCACGCAGATGGTGTCAATTAGCAAGAGTAAGTCAACAGAGGTCAATGAGGCACCTCCAAAGTAAGAAGAAACGGCAAGGAGAGGCACCGCCTTAGGACTGCTAAATAAAGGGAGGAGGTGTGGGTGCTGCTGGTTGCTGAAGGCAACTGTTTGAAAACTGCGTCTTGGAATCTTGGTCTGTGACTTCTCTTGTAACTTCGCATCTGCTTTTCATCATGTTCTTTTGGACTTGAGTTTACTGTATTTGACAGGTTTGTCAACAAAATTAAAAGAGGTTTTTGTTTTTGTTTGCAAGTCTCCAGCCTATTGTAGTAGCAGGGGTTTTGTCCTTGTGAAGTTAACAAGGATGACAATAGGCTGGGATAGAACACTGCCTACATAGCTTAGCAACCTTGTTTATACCAATGAAAACTTAACCCTGTATTTTCACAGGCAAAAAAGCTGGCCCTCCAGGACCTGCTGGGCCCCAAGGCCCTCCTGGGCCACCTGGGCCCCAAGGCCCCCCCGGAATTCCAGGTATCCCTGGCATTCCAGGTACCACAGTGATGGGACCTCCAGGACCTCCGGGACCTCCAGGCCCCCAGGGACCCCCTGGATTGCAAGGTCCCACCGGTAAGTGCTTAGGAGGGTGAATGAGCAGGCAAGAAAGATTAAAACTGCCACCCTACTATATAATGCTTGTCAACTGTGGTGGTTTGTAGGCACATACAGGAATGTGAGAAACTGTCACCTCAAAAAATGCTTAGAATCTGGCCTTGTCCCAAAGGGCACAAAATAGAGGGTTGTCCAAACTACATATTTGATCTCCACATAACCCATGAAGAATGTCACAGATGAGCAAATGAATCTTCTCAGGACCTGCCTGAATGATCTGTTGGTCCTCGTTGACTTTTCTGTGCACAGACTTGCAGCCATCCTCTCTTAATGCAATGGGGATCAGTGAATTTTCTGGAGCAAGTCTGAGTTATAGCAATAGCACTGATGTAGCACTTCACAGTGCTTTACAGCCCTCACTAAGTGGTTTACATGCTGCCCCCAACAATCTGGGTCCTCATTTTACCAGCCTAGGAAGGAAGGAAGGAAGGAAGGAAGGAAGGAAGGAAGGAAGGAAGGAAGGAAGGAAGGAAGGAAGGAAGGAAGGCTAAGTCAACCTTGAGGCGGTCAGGATCAAACTCCAGGTTGTGGGCAGAGTTTGCCTGCAATGCTGCATTCTAACCACTGCACCACCACAGCTCTTTTTATGTTATGCCAAAATTATGCCAAACGTAGTCTTAATTGTAGAATTAAGACTGATGGGTCTCTCTTCATTTTCCCGCCAAAAAAAGGGTAAAATTTTAAAATGAGTGTTCATTCCTAATCTTTTTAAAAGGTCTAAAAATACATAAAATACTCATTTGAGAATATTGAGTATAAATTGTGAAGCAAGATCTTTTTCTTTTGATATCTTGAAATACCAGCTGTTCAGGATTTTTCTGAATTATGGTTTATTGGATTCAGAGTGACATGTTTTAATAAATAGGAGTGAACAAAGGGGGGGAGGAGAATAGGGCAATAGTGGTGTAAATGTTCTGTTTTATAAGAGTGGCAAGGCGCTAAGAGATTTTTTTTTGGCTATAAAATAGTAAATACAATGTCACCGCATGGAAGGTATCTTTCCAGGATGTAGGTGTCCTAGAAAGATACAGTGCAGATACTCAAATTGAAGACCAATGAAATCCTAAAAGCGTGGAATTTTGAAGAAGTCTGTTTTAAAAATTTTGCTCATATAAAACCATATATGACTCAATATAGAAACTATTTTGCAGGTACAGCAGAAAGAGCAGGGCCTCGGGATTCACAGGTCAGTGACTTCATTGGGGGAAACTTCAGTACCCTGGTCACAAATGAATCGTGCCTCCTTTTTTAATGTAAAAATGCTAATTTTCCAGCCAGACCAAATTTGTTTATTCATCCTTGCATATAATCTAGGCCAGGGGTAGGCAACCTTGGTTCTTCAACTCCCAGAATTTCTGAGCCAGCATGGCTCAGCTTGGAAACCTCTCCCTTTCCCCTCAGCATGGCTGGCTCAGGAATTCTGGGAGTTGAAGTCCACAAGTCATAAAAGATACAAGGCTGCCTACCCCTGATCTAGGCAATCTGAATAGATTTACCATCTTTTCCTCATGTAACATTGCTAAAGGAATTATTTGCTGTAATTTCAAAAATTGGTGTCAGTTTTTCACAGCTTGCATTTAGGAAATTCTTGATGACCAAATAAGTTATTTATAGAAATGGACTTTTAGTTCCATGAGGTCAGAAAATCATGGTCTTTTCCAGGTAGATCTCAACTTACTACCAGACATTTTAAAATTATGATGGCCTCAGAATGATGTGTTATGGCCCATAAAGCACTTCTGTCAATTATAAAAAGATGTGCCACCATCCCCCCCATGGTCATATGATCACATTTCAGGTACTTAGTAAGTGACTCGCATTTACAACCAGTTGCCAAGTGCCTCACGATCATGGGATTGCCATTTGCAATCTTCTCTGCCAGCTTTCCTTGAAAAGGGAAAGGGGAAACTGGCAGGGAAGGTTGAAAGTGGAGAACACATGGGAGAGCTGAAAGCTTCTGGATTTCAGCTCCATTCCTGCAGCCCCAAGAAGGATCTCCCCTCCATGCATGGAGGGGAGGAGAAACCCTCCAGTGCGTACTCTTTCACTCCATCCATTCAATGACCCGGGAGATGTTTTCATGTGCGTAATTGCCAGAAACAGTGACATGGGCGTCTTTGCTTAATGATCACTCAATGCCTGGGATTCCAGTCCTAATTGTGATACTTTGAGGACTGTGTGTATTGTAAATGTTCAAGATGAATTTGGGCATTTTTGGAAACTGGAAATGTATATTTGCTTCAGTCTGACTCTGCTATCTTCTGTTTTGCAGCCAGCAGTAGTTCACCTTCAAGGACAGGGCTCGGCTATCCAAGTCAAGAATGGTAAGAATGCTAAGCACTCAGCCACAACAAAGACCCACAACTCACAATGCCAGTTTCCTAGATTCTGTTAGAATATTTCCCAGGTTTCTGATTTTAACATTTCAACAGCATATAACACTAATTTGATTATCTTTTTTCCCTTCTCCTTCATTTTTTAATGTCTAATTAAAATTAGTTATCACATCAATCCAGATATTTTGTTTTCATGCTCATCACCATCTTCACTATCTCAATCTTTGTTTGCCTCTAATTGTCATGTCAAATTGAATTTTACCTCAGGTGCTCCGTGCAGCGACTCCTTGATCTTGTAGGCCTCTTGAGTAGCAACACCTGTAACTTCTCAGAAAAAGTTGCCTCTTTGGTTCCCATTTTGGTGTCTCCCATTTCACCTTCGACCCCATTTGCCTCAAAGGTGATGCCTATTTGTTTTACACGTGTATAAAACAAACCTTGATGTGCAGTCAAACCTACACTTGTGGACACGCCAGTAAAGTTCTAATTCCACAGCTCTTAGGACAGATCTTCTTTTCCGGTGGACTTTTGAAGTTCTCCTGCCTTTTCTCGAATATCTGGTTCTCCAGATGACTCTGCAGCAGCCTTCTTGTCTTCCTGAAAGGCCGTTGAGTTCTGCAGGGCTTTGTTGTGGAGGCAGGGAACTCGGAAGATTTCTGAATTATTCTGCAACGAGAAAATAAACAATATTTAATATGTGACTCTTGTGCCTGGGTTTTTAGCAGCAAACCAGTTTAATTGGCTCTTTGTGGGTGGACCTGGTCTTTTTTATGCCTGACAAAATCCAGTCCAGGTTGCAGGAGCCTCATCAGGGCTGTCAGTCAAACAAAAGCAAAAATTCTAAGAGGCTTCCCACAGAGCTCAGAGCTTCAAGGTTTCTTGTACAGCAGGATCCACAGGAATGGCATAGGAGAGCCAGAATTAGGTGTTGTTTCCAGCAAAGGGAAGATGGATCAGGGCTGCCTCTGAAATCAGGTTGCAATCAGCTGTCATCAATCAAGAGATTTATTTACTTGCTTGGCGTCCTGGAATGTCTCTTCTCCACTCTCCTGGCCAGGTGCAGAGGCTGGGAGGCCTTCCCTCGTCCTGATCAGACTTCTCCAGTTGTCCAGGGGGTGCCTGTGCTTGATCAGTCTTATGTAATTCTTGGCTTGGTGTCTCCTGAGGTTGGCATTCCACAGGATCAGCTGGAGCAGCTTCCTTAGATTCAGAATCAAAGTCTGGGCCATGGCAGGTATCACGAAAGGCCCGGGGCTTCACAACCAGATGTTGAGTTCAGGAAGCAGCCTGGCCTGCTTGTAGCCAAAAGGTGCTTAATCCTGATTCATTTCTGAATCTGGACTCTTGCTCAAGCAACCTGGAACTTCCCCACTAGCACTTTTCTTTTTCTGCTCTTTGGAATGAGAATGCCAAGCAAGCAAAAGGCTCAGCATCTCTCTAGACCAGTGGTTCTTAACCTTTTTAATGCCGCGACCCCCAACCGGTCGTAAGTCGAGGACTACTCAACCGGTCGTAAGTCGAGGACTACCCAACCGGTCGTAAGTTGAGGACTTTCCCTAACCGCGCATGCGTGGTGCCGCCCCCTGCACCGGCCAAAGCGTAGCTGGCAAACGGCAGAGACGGCACAGGCCAACCACCGGCTGGGCCACCAGCTGGCCCAGCCCAAGGGAGGTAAGGCATCCACTGGACCCCACGTGAGCCAGCAACCTTCCCTGCGCCCGCCGGCCTCCCACCTCCCACCCCGGCCCTCTTTTCCTTACAGTTTTAGTAGTTGCTCAGCAGGGAGGGGTGGAAGCTTCCAGACAGCTCGCCTTCGCTGCAGACAACTTGCAGCCCCGTTTGCAGAAGGGGACTTTTGGCGGGCTCAGCAGGACAGAGACAGCCTGGACAATTCCTATTGGCTTTGGAAAGCCAATAGAATTAGACTCTATTCAAGAGAGTCTATTCTATTGGCTTTCAAAAGCCAATAGAATAAAAGGGAGTAGCACAGCTAAGGAAAAGGGGAAAAAAATGGCGGACTGCGTTGTTTGGCGACCCCCGTGAAATGGTCGTTCGACCCCAAATGGGGTGTCGACCCACAGGTTGAGAACCGCTGCTCTAGACCTTCCTTCCTGTAACACACATCCCTACCAGACGGAGGCTGGCTATGAGGGGGAGGGGCCAGTGCTTCCCATTGGGCCCTTATTCCACATACAGGCTGGTCACCCTTTCCATTCCCTATGTTGTCTTTCGAGTGAGTTCTCAATAGCCTTTGCGGCAGCCTCCAGGCTCTCAGCAAAGTCTTCTGCAGGCACCTCTCTTTGGTTACATGGTCCATATTCCCACAGTGCTTGGAATTGAGTCCGGACCCAGGCAGGAAGTATGTTGTGGGAAGAGCAACAAGCAATTATTACTCAGCCTCTTTGATCTGGTTTTATTTTGCCTCAGCAGAGGCTCAGTGGCCTTCCTGAAAAATGAAGAAAAGGACTTCTCATATGTGCTTACACAACATTTCACTGTAATATCCATAATAGATGCTTGCAGAGAGATGACTTGTACATCACATGCAATGTCAGGTCTCCACTGAGCTATTAGGGCCATAAATGTATCTTCCCTATCTTTAAGGCCTAGCCTCTTAGCAATTTATTTTGGCTCTTTTTTTCTTTCCTTTCTATTCTTGTGTCATTATTATGTTTGATGAAATAAAAGCTTTTTTAACATCCTGCAAAGTGGGATTGGGGAAGAGTGTGTTTCCCATAGCAGCAAAGGACTGTCCCCCAAACGGCTGCCTGTTAGCCGGGAGGTGGTTCTCCTTCAGCTTTCCTCCACATTTGCTGGAACGAGGGATGCTACCTCTGCATCAGCCGCATCGCATGAATGAAATTCTTGGCCGCAAGTTTTATTTTGACCAACTCAGCAAAAAAAAAAAAAAAAAAAAAGGAAAGCCTATGCAAACATCCCTGTATCTCTTATGAGTATTTTATTGGCTTTTTCATAGTGTGATTTTTTAATGGGAAAAGTGTGTACGCGCCGTGTGAATTTTTGCTACGCCCTTTTCCTAATGTGTGTATTCTGTATGTAGATATGTGGAGTTGTGAACTCAGCTGTACACTTCAGAAGGCTGAAGATTTCAGTTTTTAGATCTCCCAGCGAAAGGCTTGGGAGAGAGCGCGTTCCTTCTGTTAACGTTCTGTGTCCTTTGGATAAAGTCAGCCTTCAGGGAGGGGACCCTGAACGTTTGGGATTCCCTCTGAACCTCTGGGGCCTTTCTGCATGGGAGTGGCTGGGTGGGACCTTGCTGTCTTCTAAGTTACTCCATACCTGTCTTCCTCTTTCTGTATCTTCTCTGCCCCAACAGTTATATTCCCAACATTTCTGCTATCTCTGGTTGTGGAGGGTTTTGTGGAAATCTTCCTCTCTGTTACCAAGGCTTTGACAGCCACTAGCATGCATCTTCCTTCTTTATTTTGGCAGATTGACAGTTTCCTCCTAAGTGTGACTGTCCCTGTCCAGACTGGTGATGACTTCCGTTGAACGTGCTTTGTTTTTGCTATGTCTAGTGTTCTTGAGAGGCCACTAGCTGCCTCTCGCCATTCCTGAGACATGTCAATTTAAACCAATCACCCCCTTTTCTATAAGATGTTCTACCCTGATCATGTCCTGTTTGTACTTTTATGTTTCTTTTCATGATGACTTTTGAGTGACTGCCATTTTCTCATGCTGAGATCTTTCAGGTGGAGTCCTTAATGACTGGTCTCGCATAACAATGAACCCGAGAGTGTTTAAGCTGCACACCCGGAGTGGCGAGCTGGAGGTACTGGCAGACGGCACGTACTTCGTCTATAGTCAGGTAGAAGTGAGTACGGTCTTAGGCCTAACTCCTTTTCCTGTATCCAAAATGCAACATCTGTGGCATCAGAAGGGTGTTGCTGCAGAACAAAGGAAGGCAATCAAAAGTGTGTGCATTCACAAGTCTTTCATCTTGTAGACCAGGGGTGTCAAACTCGCTGCGTCCCACTTGCTAAAGCTGGGGAGGATGTGGCTTCCACATGACGTACCCGACCCTTGAGCCAGCAGTTTGACATCCCTGTTGTAGACAATAGGAATCAGGATGAAGTGGTATTGCTGAAATATCAGCTGTCTTTTTAGATCAGGAATGCAAACTTCTCCTTTTCTAGACTCTATGTGTCTAACAGGATTCTAATGGAACCTGCAGGTGTCCCCCCCCCCCGATCCCACCCCACCCCCGGGCGGGCTTCCTCCTTTTCTCCAAGCTTGCATCTCCTTGCAGCCACCACCACTTTGCCTGTATGGCATTTTTCAACTGTCCTCAAAATGTTGTCTTTGATGGCCAGGATCCCCTCCTCCTTAGCCCCCCCCCCATCCATTTCTTGGTTGCCTCATGTACTTATTCACTTACCTCCTCAAAGAATATGTCCTTTTCTATCTCGCTCCTAAATTAAGAAAAAAAATGAAAACCACTTTTGTCAGTGTCACAGGTGCTTTATTAAAAGGGGAATAAAACCCAACCCACAAACACTGCAGATCATTTTTGGGGGTGGGGGGGTTAGGAATGGAGAAATAGTGTTACTACAAAATTAGCCCCCGCATAAATAAATGAAAAATAATTCAATTTAAAAAGAAAAGAAAGCGGTAAGTGCTCCTGCCAGCTTTCAGAGCACATTCCAGCCTCTCAACCCAGTTGGATTTGCATGAGCGCCATCTTGGAACCTTTCTGCAAAACCTTTTTCTTAAGCTGCCTGTTCTAGCCTGCCCTTCCCTTCTTGCAGTTGACCTGTTGTATATTATAAATTACCAAAGAATTCGGGGGTGGGGGCTGGGGCGAATGAGCACCAGGTAAGGAATCTGGAAGCTGGCTGGCAGAAGACAGGCCAAGTCCTCAGGCAGAGGTGTGGAAGGCTCCCACGCAAGATGAAGCAAAAGTGTTCCACACTGGATGGGTCATTCTGGCAGCCTGTCTGTGAATGCAGCAGCCTGAAACCTTTTACACGGGTGGCATAGATTTTTTCCCTGGGGGATCTCATAAAAATGTGATTGGAGTGTTCTGTGAAGAATGTGAGAGTTGGGTTGTTGTTGTTTTTTAATTAGCTTTCCACAAATAATTTCTTTAGGTAATAGAGCCTATGTCCCCACAGGCCAAACCTTTTCCAATGAAGTGGTATATTTTTCTTCTGTGAATTGGCCTATTCCTCAAGAGATGGCATTTCAGCCATGCTTCTTTGATAGGCCACTAACCATGGAAGTGGAAAATCAACTGAAGCCTTATGTTTTCTTCCAAAATAATTCATAAACAAAATCAGACTTGTTTCAAGGATGTTTGATCATCAGTTCAACCATCATTGTGTGTTCCATTAAATGAATGCATTTTTGGAGGGTGGGGCCCTGTGTGTGTGTGAGACAGAGAGAGCTCTTGGCTCAGTGACTGGTGTCCATGTTCTCTGCCCTCATTAAAGAGTAATATATCCTGTATTTTGAATAACCAGCATTACTATAGGCACACTTTTACATGAATTCTGTAGGGTTTCTTCCTCCTGGTGATACTTTTTTTTTTCAAATGTTCATTTCCAATTAGGTATATTACATAAACTTCACAGATTTTGCCAGCTTCGAGGTGGTGGTGGATGAAAAACCTTTTCTGCAATGCACTCGGAGTATTGAGACAGGAAAGACCAACTTCAACACCTGCTACACAGCTGGGGTTTGTCTCCTCAAAGCTCGGCAGAAGATTGCTGTTAAAATGGTCCACGCTGACATCTCCATCAACATGAGCAAGCATACCACCTTCTTTGGGGCCATACGGCTAGGGGATGGACCCTCTTCTTAAGGACCTTGGGACCTCAGGCGGGGGCTTCTGAAACCACCTGGCATCACTGTTCAAAAGATTGGGAAGAGTGAAAGAAAGAACTGATGAGATATTTATTTTTTTATGTAACTACCGGAAGTAAGCCAGGTTTCCCTTGGTGCCAGTGGAGCAGTGCTAAAAAATGGAGCACTGCTAGGGGGGAGGGCAAGCCTGCAAGACCTTCTACCTGAGCTGTATATATCACATCAGAGGCAGGCGGTCAGAAGGCCACTTCCTTCCCACAACTTGCACTGATAAGAGTTACTATGGCAACAGATGATGGAAGGTATGCAACTGAATGCTCTCCAGGAGGATGTACGTTAACGGCAAAAGATTTTCTCCCCCTCTTTATTTTTGATACCAAATATACAAAGGACCTAGAATGTGGCCAGGACACATCCAAATTCTGATCATAATAAGTTTCACATTTTAGAAACTGGAATTACAGATGAAGGGACTATTTATGAAGCTGGAAGTTGCCTTTGGCAAAAAACACACTACCCAGTTAAAATAATGAATTCGACTTTCAAAAGCAAATGTGTTGCAGGTTTTTAAAAAAGAGGTTTCTTTCTGGATTTGGTTTTGTAGGGTCTGTCTCTACCATGAGATGTTCAGAATGTGGAATTCCCTATTCAGTCTTGATACTTTTCTTCCAGACCAAGATTAGCAGGGGGTGGTGGTGGTGGTGTGTCTTTCTTCAAACTTCCCAGTGGGCTGAGTCAGGGCAGTAAAACACAATCTTGCCTTGCACAGTATATTTGTCCTGAGATGTGGACAAGCTACCTGTTTCCTATTAAGAAAAGAGAGGCTAAGGGAAGGCAGTTAGGCAGTTCTGGGATTGAGTTCAGACTTGGGTGGAATCTGGGAAGCAACTTTTTCCAATGTATACAGATCAATTTCAGCCAAACTTTAAAGCGACTGCTTCCCACCTGATACTTTAACGCTGTGAATTATAATTGCAAAGACAATATGACTGGGTACTCTATTTTTTTGTGGAGCAATTCTGGCAAACTATCAAGTCAGCTGGCGAGGGGGATCATTTAGAGTTTGACTCTGTCTTTTAGAACAGGGGTCCCCAACCTTGGCGACTTTAAGACTTGTGGACTTCAACTCCCAGAATTCCTCAGCCAGCAAAGCTGCTGAGGAATTCTGGGAGTTGGTCCACAAGTCTTAAAATCACCACGGTTGGGGACCCCTGCTTTAGAAAGGTGATGGGAGAAAATTAAAGCAACGATTGTGATGATGTAATCTGTTTCTTCCAGCTTTCTGCCAGGGAGACAAAAAATGTCACCAGTTTGTTTCAGCCAAACCAGCTCTTAGTAACGGCCATCCTGGTAGAGTAGTTGGAGAAGCAGAAAAGTGCCAGCATGGTGCTTGGTTTTAATTGGCAACTGTAAAGATGAAATTCTACAATTGTGCTATGCACAGATGTCTTGATTCTCCTGTTCTCATTTATTTGCAAAGATGAAGAAATGCTTCTGAAAAAGGTTTGCGTATTATCTGCAGGCTCTGGTTTAGCAATGACTTTTAAAAGAAAGCTGCAGCGATGCCAGTCCCATCATTTCCAGTGATGTAAGGTTGTTTCATTTTGGAAATAGTGGCCCAAGACTGAAAACTCCCCAAGAAATATTTAAACCTTCTCTGTTTTTGCCCTTCCATCAGCAACATAAGGGCCAAGGCTCCAGGCCAACGGTTCTGTTTGTCCAGTGGGACACTTACAAGTAATCCTTGACTTATGGCCACCATTTCTGTTGCTAAGTGAAACTTTTGTTGTGAGTTTTGCCCCATTTTACCACAATTGTTAAGTGAATCGCTGCAGTTAATAACAGAGGTGTTCAGTGAATCTGTCTTCCCCATTGACTTTGCTTGACAGAAAGTTACAAAAGGTGATTACGTGACCCCAGGACAATGCATCCGTCATAGATGTGAGTCAGTTGCCAAGCATCTGGATTTTGATCACGTGACCGTGGGGCTGCGGCAATGATCATAAGTGTGAAAAACAATAAGTTACTTTTTTTCAGTGCCATTGTAACTTTGAACAGTCACTAAGCAATCTGTTGTAAGTTGAGGACTACCTGTATTTATGGACCGTTCCTCTTCAGGCTTCCTGTTTTTAATGGTCTTAAAGAGTTGGCTTTACTAGAGTGTAAAGTACGACCCACCATTATGTTTTTTAAAAGCGTAACATTAGTCAAACTCTGTTCGGACCGAATGACAGGAATGCTCCTGGCACAAACAAGCCTCTCTTGCGGTGGGGCTAGAGATGGCAAGCGGGGGGCAAGCTTTAGGCTGCTTTGTGGGCCAACAGTTCTAGTCAATGATATGATCTCTGTGTATATAGATATATAGATATACATACATATATATATATATATATATATATATATGGAGGGAGAGAGAGAGAGAAGGATATAGAGAGAGAGATATATACAGAGAGATATAAATGTATATAAACCGGGATGTAAGTTTAGTTAATTTACAGTATTTTCTTTGCAAATAAAGCTCTCGATGTGATTTCAATTGCTTGAATCCCAGCCTCTGTTTTTCAACCACAAAGCAGGACAGCTGTATCGGATTCTCATTCTGAAAGTACTACCACAGCCTGGGGCATCTAATGGCTCATGAAAGAATCAGGACAGCATTGTCGGAACAAGATTCCATTATTCAAGGTTAAAAGATGAGTGATAATGGTTAGGCGTCCTTTTTACCTTTAGGAAGGGTAAGGAAGGGTTTTTTTGGAAAGACTGAAGAAAATGAAGCAGTTTGAGAATGACAAGGGGAGATACAATGGGATGATGCTTACCTTGGTATGCTACTCTGAGCTACAACACAACACCAGCTCAATATCCGGAAGAGGGAGGAAAAACCATTTAATTTCTTGTCATATTCACTCCTCACTTTCCAGCCTGCCAGTTCCCTAACACAAGGGTCCCCAACCCCCGGGCCACAGCCTGTTTGGAACTGGGCTGCGCAAGCGGCATGGCAAATGTGCGTTGCTCCATTTGCGTGCACAGTGGGTTGTGTGTGCTTGTGCTCGCAGAACAATCCCCTCTCCCCCCTGCCACTGCCAGTCTGCAAAGCCAGAAAGGTTGGGGACCCCTGCCTTAACAGAAGTAGGAAATGCTTAGAATGTCACCAAGTAGTTCACAAGTTTGTTCCAGAAATTTCAATGAATCTGCACTACTTAGGCCATCATTTCGCAGGATTTCAAGGTATACTGAGAAAATGCCATTTTGCTTTTCAGAACATCGAAGAAGCAGCTATGGAGATATGTATCTGCTGAATCAGATTCATCCTGTTGAAAGAAAAATCATCAGGTCCAGTCCAAGCTGGGAATAAATAAAATGGAGGCTGTTTGGAAAGAAGGTTCTTGTTTATTTACTTGCCAGAAACCTCAGTGACACAGCATGTTTCTGGGTGGCTGACAAAATGGAGCTGGGAGTGGTGGGCTTTTATACCTTCTTTGGGCTTTGTATTTGAGGTTCTTCCTGTCCCTGTGCAATATACTTTCACCTGGCTTGAGTGTGCCCTTTTTGGGTTTTTTAATAGTGGTGGGTTAATCCTATTATGTCCTCAAGGTCATGTTCCTGTCCTTGGGAGTCTTTGTTTCTCTAATCCCATCACTCAAACCTTCTCTGGGGTTGTGGCTGAAGGCATTTTGGTTATGAATAGTTGGTCTCAAATCTGCATTTCTAAAAGCTGACCTCTGCCTGGAGGCAGGAGACGGGGGGGGGCTGTTTTCTGCCTAAGATTTTTCTATTATTCCTTTGGGGAAATATAATATTCTGCCTCTTTTAATATTCCCCAAAATATTTCCTTCTCTAGGAGGGTGGGTGGGTGCTGACTTCCAACAGTCCTTACATACTTAACAGAACCATGAACTACAGAAGACTTGCTCAATGCCTTGGCCTCTGCGTGAATTTTAATTCCTCCATCAAACCCCTTCATAGCTACAGGACAGGGATCCTTTGCCCACTGCCAGGAGTTCGATCCTGACCGACTCAAGGTTGACTCAGCCTTCCGTCCTTCTGAGATCAGTGAACTGAGGACCCAAAGTGTTAGGGGGAAAATGCCGATTGTGTAAACTGCTTAGAGAGGGCTGTAAAGGACTATGAAGTGCTAGTGCTATAGCCATGAAGAATTCCCATCCTACTTTAGGGCAGGCATCTCCCGAACAAGGGGATCCTCCTCCCCTTCTATCCTCATGGCTGGGTTTGCCCCTTGGACAAGGGCAGGGGCTACAGAAGCCAGGCAGGGCTTGAGCTAACAACACTTGAGCCACAAAAGGCTTCATGTTCACAGCCAGCCTCTCCAAACGGCTCTGGGATGCTATCAGCAGTCGGCACAGGGTCAGCCAGCAAGGGCCAGCCATGTCCTGGACAGCCAGCTTTCCGAGCCCTTCTGGGGGCAGCTCTGTGAATGGACCGATTTCTGAGCCTTCCAGCCCAAAAGGTCAACTAGTGGAAGGCCAGCTAAAGGCACGCCCTTAGGCGCAATTCCTCAATCCTGCTCAAAACTCTCAACAGAAAACTCGGGGACAGTCGGGGTGCTTCATCACTGGAGGTTTTTAAGAAAAGACTGGAAAACCATTTGTCCAGGATGGTAGAGGGTCTCCTGCTTGAACAAGGGGGTGGATTAGAAGACCTCCGAGGTCTGTTACTCTGTTATAAGAAGTTTGAGAGATGTACTATTCCTTTATCTCGTCATTTGGAGGATTCTTCCAAGTAGGAAGGCCTGAATCCTGTCCGCAAATCCCACAGGAGTGGATCGCCTCTAGGAGCCCTCTTTTCCCTTCCATCATCTGGCAGCTGTGTTGATTGCAGTTCCAAGAACTCCCGTGGATGAGATGCCCATAGGTCAGAAGCATCCCCGATGATGTAATCAAAGCTCTGCTGGGAATCCTGGGAGTTGTAGTTGAACCTCTCTGAAATTACCAAGCTGAAGAAAGCCATTCAAGACACCAGATCCCCTACTGAAGATCAACACTGTGTTTGCACCCAGAAGCTCTTTCCCCTCTCTCCTTCTCCCACTTCCTATTTCTTTCCTCAATTCCCAGGAAAGAAGAAGAATCCCATGCAATGAGTCATCCTGATTTGCGGCCTCCCACTTGTGGGCCTTCTCCTGCATTTGCTACTCTGGACAAGCAGGTAGCCACTCCCAAGAAACCTTCAACCTTCCACAAAATGTCAAAAATGAAGACGTGGCTCAAGATTTCTTAACATCCCTCTTGAAATAAAGTCAGCTAACAATCACTGCCCCAAAGAAAGGAATAGAGCAGTCCATGGAGTGTGGGCGATGGGGAAGTCCTGCCCTTCTGACCTGGCCAGGCTCCATGCCCCTCTGTTGCATGAGGAAGCCTTTTGACAAAAGAGCACAGACTTGGCCTACTCTTCCTTGGCACTCTTGTGCCAAGGAAGCCCCTGGGAGTCAGAGAGACCCCCAATCTTGCCCACTTCCCCCTCCCTGCATCCCTCCCACCATCAACAGGGAGCTTGGATTCCCCAAGGTCGATGGGGGTGACAAACTCCTTAGTGGAGCTGTTTTCACACCATTTGTCCGTTGTCTCAGCACAACTCTGGATTTCCAGAAAGCTGGCAAGGGGCTCCCGGAAATTAAAACCCACCAGCAAGAGCAAACGGAGTCCCACATCCAAAAAGAAGAGTGACTTCATGTCTGCTCTGGGACGGAGCACAGAAAGCTCAGCTATTCTCCTAAAAAATAATCATCATATTAATACATTTCTTTTCAGTCATTTGTGCCTTATCATCGATCCTGCTACAATCCTTATTTCAGTTTATTTTTCCCGCCAAATTCTAAATATTCTTACTGATAAAGGTTTTCTCAGCGATTAGTTACATTTACATTGACAGACTTAATTCTATTTTTTCCATATAGCCCATCTCACATTTTTATGTTTCTTAAGTAATAGATATAAGAATAAAAAGAAAGAGAAAAAGAAGAATGAAAAAGAAATAAAAAAATAAAAAAGAAGAGAAGAAAGCAGTAATAACGGAACATAAGAAATAACATAGTACTTAGAATACATATCCCTCCTAGATTAATAGTATTTATTTTCTCAAATTTCTTATTCTTTTTAATCATAGTTAAGAATATATTTAATCTTTAGACATTCTATTCAATAGATCTAATCATCTAATCCCTTAACTCTAGTTCAAAGCATATGTGTGTGTGTGTATATATATATATATATATATATATATATATATATATATATACTTTTCTTGAATTCAGTCACATTTAAGTATCTAAAACATTTCATCCCTCTTAGAGTAGTGTGTTTCACATTTTTTCTATTTCTTTTTTTATTATATTTTTTATTAATTTTTTACACAAGCATGTCATTCAATAGTTGGTAAACAGTGTGATGTCTGGGTTACATTTTTAAAAACAGTCCTTAACAATTGATTTCTATAGTCTGTATTCCATATATTAATTTTGTTTACTTTCCTCTTTCCCTGAAATATCCTTTTTTGCAAACATTGCATTAATACAATTCTTGATGTTTTAATAAATGACAATTTAGTGTATATTTTTTCCAATATTCCTAAAAAATAATCATCATATTAATAAATTTCTATTCTTTCCATTTATTTGGATTGCCTTATCATCAATCCTGTTACAGCCCTTATTTTAGTTTATTTCTCCCACCAAATTCTAAATGTTTTTACTGGTAAAGGTTTTCTCAGCAATTAGTTACATTTACATTGACAGACTTGATTCTATTTTTTCCATATAAGCCATCTCACATTTTTACGTTTCTTAAGTATTAAATATAAGAGTAAAAAGAGAGGGGAAAAAGACAAAGAATGAAAAAGAAGTAA